TGTGTAAACACTTCACTGTGCATCAGTTGTCCATCTCACCTTGTACACTGAGTTATATTGCAAGTGAATTTGGAACAAAAGACATGTTTCCTGTCATCCAACTATCACCAATTCTTTTACATCATATCATTTTTTGATCATTTACTTATTGTTGCATTGTCATTTTAATTTAGTGTTTTCACTTTAAAATGTTAACTGCTCAAAAAACGAATTATTTTGAACGGTCGTTGATAGAAAATGAACGTTTTTGCGTTAGTTACTGAATATTAATGGGTAACATAAAATAAAACTTAAACTAGGTATTAAAATCTAATCAAGAATAAATGCATCACCATATTTAATAATTCCCGTGTATATTTCAAGTGTAAACTAAAATTGATGGTGACTTAGAGAAGAATCCAGGACTCATAATTTGTTCATTTTGGAACTCATCAGCTGAATGTGCTTGAAACCAGAGTTAAGATTCACCTGATAAATAAGTGGATGACGCATTGGCGTTTGAAGCAAAAGCTAGTACATTTCAATCTAGTTTCAAGTGACTCATGATCTCAATTATTAAATTACTATAATATCCACAAAAATCCCTTCTGATATTTAGCAAAACATGTTCACTTGTGCCTTGCACCAAGATATATTTCCTGGGGTTCTAGTGAGAAGCAGTGACCAGTGGAGTTCAACCAGGTCTGTTGTGAGATAGTAACTTACTGACGACAATGTTGGACGGTGGCTCAATTTCCTGGATTAGTTGGAGTTAGACATAACTACCGTTGGATGCCAGTCGGTTCATTGGTCTGGAGGTTAAGTGTTCACGCGTGAAACCGACATGTCCTGGGTCCGAATCTGGTGTGAACATGAAGTGATAAAGTCTTTTTTTATTGGAAGAACTTAAAATATATTCACTGTGATTGAAACGTGTCAAACATGGTAGTTCAGGTAATTGGTCAATGTTATTTGAATCATATATTTTCATGTATTATCAACAGACTAAGAGAAAGTTTAATAACAAATAAATCACAATTTGTATATAAATTAAGCAAATCACGTAGACGATATTTTCTGTTTTTTATTCTTCATTCATTTTTTTATTCAATTAAAATCAGAGTATTCTATTCAACTTATTAAAACTTCTATATTCAAACACCTTGATGGGTAAGTAACTATTATATTCTGACGTTTATTCATGGTATATATGTTGGTAATGATGGAAATGGGCCATGTAGACCGTATACATATTCTTTGTGTGATTTGTGATTTGCGCATGAAGAAAGTGTCTAGTGCTCGTCGGGTTTTTAGTGATACACCTAAATGTGTTCACTTTTTTGAAGAATATCAGAAATAAATTGAACCAGTGTTTAAAACTTATCTTCAACAACCTTGAATATTGATGCCGGTAGAATAGTTGGCAAGCGGACAATATTTATTTTATTATTTAAACACGTAAACATTCGTACAAGGAAGCATCAAACAGATACGCGCCACACAAATCATTCGATTTATATGTGGGCTGGGATACTGAACGAGTGCAAAAACCGAACCACATGGTTTTCTTACGCGGCCACACACAGAGCTTTTGACCTCAACATCTAATCCATAAGGCAATTGAGCAACGTCAGCAGATGTAGTCTCATGGTAGTCGGTAACCAACAATAGGTTCACACACCATTTGTTCCCTCAGAACACTGGAGATCATGTTCATCATTGGTTTGTAAGCAGGGTTTGCCAACTCGCCTAGGGAGATTCTCCATATCCACGGACCCGGTGGAAGTGTCAGACATTCACTTTACGTCCTCTCAATTTTGTTAAACAACAGTAATGCTGTGAGAAGGCGATGAGCGGGACTTCCCTGACAGTAGTTGTATGCACGTGGCCATATGAGAGCATTTCGAGAGGGAGAGTTGACTCTCCCTACTCTCGGCCGTACCATGGAATTTGGAGGCTATGATATTTCAACAGTCTGTAACAATAGATAGTTTCCAGTTTGAACTTGTAACAGTTAAATAAATAGAGACTGAAGCAGTTATATAAATCAGTTCACTTGTGATACTTTATGTAAATATCATATACTATACTAACCGAGTAGTTTACTGTATTGATTTGAGCACAATTCTTTTGAAAAATTTATACATTTTATACACAATATAAATCATAGTAGTAGATGAATGTTGGTTAGGTTGCTTACAAGATGCTTTTTTTGGAATCATTAGTAAATTAAGTTTTAATAAACCTCAAGTAAACTTGAACTAACATCTATCATTATTTCTTCATAGTAACTAGTTCTCTAACCAATTCATCATTCAATAACATTTGATTGTACAGTTTTAGTACATAAAATCCAAAAAATAGACGGTTTTCCTACTCACTGCGGGGGTGTTGTTTAAGAAATTAAGAGGCTGAAAGACGATTATCCGGTACTTTACCAGAACTGGTGGACACGGATATTCCACCTAGGGGAATCAGAAATTCTTTATTCCAAATCTATAGTGCACACAGGCTTCAGGATCTTGAAAGGGCGAATGGCGTATGAATCCATTGTTGGTCACCGACTACCATGGGACTGCATCTCCTGACGTTGCACCACTGCCTTATGGATTACATCTCCAGGGTAAACGTTCAAAGTAAAAAAGCTGTCCCATGCTCTTTAGCTCCCAACACTGGTCCTGTTCAAGTCAATCCATGATTTAAAGTATCTTGAAAATCCTTTTCATTAATTTATAGTCTTAAATGTTATTTGAAGGGTACTTTGGTAATCAAAGCATATACCTAACTAAATACTCAATCTGTTATTAAATCATAAGGTCTAATCTTGATATTAGATGACCTTAAATCACCTAGCACACCTTAAATCAGCTACTAGATAATTTGATATCACTAAGGCTGCTATGTGACACTTTGTATTATAACTGTGATTTTTAATTTTTTTGAAGTATTAAGTAATTAATTGATTATATGCATGTTTTTCAAATGATTAATCAAATTATTTCACAGAATTTTGTTTATTCGAATGTTTCAAGTAAACCCGTTTAGTTCTATAGTTTTATTGCTGATTGATATCATCTGAAGGAACTCGATGGAATTTTTAAATCAAGGCCTAAACCTATGCAATCAAAGCGAATATCAAGTGTGTTTATGGGTGAAAAGCTAGACTACAACGAAATAATGATGATTATTAGATTCTACTAAGTTGGAAATATCGACCATCCGCTTATCAACTAGTAACTCGAAAACTTTTTATGTTTTTCAATAAGCCTGAAGTTCCTAGAGTTTATCTTGTGTGACGTCTTGTGCTCGCAAAGTTATGAGACACAAAAATGGTACACGATAAACAGCCGAAACTTTAAAATGATCTTGTTTTAGTGAGTTTTTAATGTCTTAGGTGTGAATAATGACTGAAGTTATAAAAATAACTTAATACATGAGAATCAACTAAAAAAAAGCACTTGCCGGGTCTTGGTCTCAGTTTAATCAGACAATACAGGATTCACTACTGAAAATATGTAATCAATGAGTTTCTATGATTTGAAAATACAACATGAGTAAGGATCAGTCAGTTACAAGTCCATGTTTATTATTTGTTAAAGGCAGCTAAAGAATCCTTGTAAACCTGGGAACATTAGAAATATTTCGTCCGAGTTCGTGACTAAGCACCAATATACTAAACATCAATATAAAAGTAATTGCACTATCAAACTTGAGGAATATCGACCCCCGAGTTCCAAATGGATGATCTAAAAATGTAAGCAGTCTCTGTGGGGACCAATGGTCCTGGATCAAACATTTAACAGGATCGTGTATACGTACTGTTAAGAGCCCTTGGTGATTTATTTTAGTCAGTAAACGTCCTCCATTTTTCCACTCCAGTAGCAGGAAGCCTGAATATCAAAATCAAACTCAAACATCACATATTACAACATTTTTCTATCGACATCTCTCGATAACTGAGATCATATGGAAAATATGAGCATTTAAGAAATGTCTAACTGAAATATAAAAAACGATTGATTTCAGTTTTCTTATCATGAAAATACGATCACCAAATTTGTTAAGAATTTTAGTTGATATAACCTTTAGATCACAAATAAAACTGCAGATATAGTTGTTGGATAGAGGTTAAGCTTCAAAGTCTGGCCTTTCTTGATACTTCTTATTTTCTGTTCCTTTTTCCCTTTTTCTATTCATAATAAAAATGTTATGTAGTTAGCTTAAACAATTTTGAGTGAAATGAACTACTTCATCTCCTCACTTATAATCTTCACAGTAGTGCTTGTAATGTATGTGTTTATAGTAATCACTGAAACTCATATATCTAATGTGAAGATGCTCTTTGCTCTAGCTGGTGTTATATTTTGCAGATGGAATATGCCATCCCTCCAAATTCCATGGTACGGCCGAGAGTAGGGAGAGTCAACTCTCCCTCTCGAAATGCTCTCATATGGCCACGTGCATACAACTACTGTCAGGGAAGTCCCGCTCATCGCCTTCTCACAGCATTACTGTTGTTTAACAAAATTGAGAGGACGTAAAGTGAATGTCTGACACTTCCACCGGGTCCGTGGATATGGAGAATCTCCCTAGGCGAGTTGGCAAACCCTGCTTACAAACCAATGATGAACATGATCTCCAGTGTTCTGAGGGAACAAATGGTGTGTGAACCTATTGTTGGTTACCGACTACCATGAGACTACATCTGCTGACGTTGCTCAATTGCCTTATGGATTAGATGTTGAGGTCAAAAGCTCTGTGTGTGGCCGCGTAAGAAAACCATGTGGTTCGGTTTTTGCACTCGTTCAGTATCCCAGCCCACATATAAATCGAATGATTTGTGTGGCGCGTATCTGTTTGATGCTTCCTTGTACGAATGTTTATGTGTTGATATAAATAAATAATAAATCTGCCATACTGTGATATATGCATCGAAATCAAATAATATTTATAGATTTCTTGGAAAAGTTAAATACTTTGTAAAACGTCTTTCTTTTTCTACTGTACATCTGTAAATTCAGATATAAAGGAACTACAGTTTTCTAATGAGGATAAAAAGAAAAGTTACAGTTGTGACCTAACCACAGATACATCCACATCCTCCAAATCGGATAGTAATACATCTTCAACAATAAATGTAAATAATATATCCCCATTGCCTTCCTCATCGTCAACCTCATCAGTCATAACAATATCAACTACAAGTACAAATACTCGAATAAAAAATCAAAATGTATTGAATAATTCAACAACCTTTGGTTCACGTAATCGAAGACAAGATTGGTGTAAATGGCCTATTTGTATTCAGTACCGAACAACTGGTTATTGTCTAGGATATAATCCTAATGGTACATTACCAGCATCATCACAAATGTGTCAAGCTGCTCATATTGGTCCAAATGATCAAGTACCTTTATCATCAGATGGTCAAGTTAGGGTTTGCTTTGATTCGATGGGATTAGTAAATGTGAGAAGACAAATTATTTTTCATAAACCACTGTGAAATTCCTCAGCATGGTTTTAATTGTCATTCATTAATATCTTGATATAAACTTAGATAATCTAAGAACTAATATCGGACAATATATGCTGTAATTCGTCGAGGTATTGCAAATTACTGTCACTGATAACAGAAGTTTGTTAACAAACATAATCAAAATGACTGAGAATATTATATTTACTTCAAGATAATAATGTACATTCAAACATTTGGGTTATGATTCCGGACCTAAAGCACCTCTCACTATTAAGTTTAATTTCTTTCCACCATCAAAGAAAGTATCAAACAAAACATTCAGACTCTAAATATTGTCACTTACATAAAAATGGAATTTTTAACTACATAACACAGATGACAGATAGCTCATAAACCAACAGTTTATTTGATTAGATCTCCATAACAAATAACTTTCCTTTACTAAAGTAGGGTAAACACCCTGAACATTCTGGTCTCTACATCTGAAAGCCCTGAGTTCAACGTTTGATATAATCATGAGCATGCACTAGTGAGAAGCAAACAACTGGGAATAAACAATTAGGAAGCGTCCCCTGTACCCTCATGGTTATCTAACTGGAGTCAGTCAGTAACGAAAACGGCCTCAATATTGGATAGTTATAGTACAGATAAATGTTGCAAAGGTTTTTAAGCTCTATAAGAAGGTCCCGTAGTTTTGTGCTTCAAAAGTTGTTTGGAAACCTTTCTATAACTCGTTTCTTTAGAATCGATAAAGAAAATAATTTAGGTAATTACAAGTCGCTCCAAAGATCCGGATTAACTATACTTATTTGAAAGTGATAGTAGGCATAAATAAGGCATGTTTGCGATCCACAGAATTGCATTTTACTTTAACCTAACATTTCATGATTGATGTAAAATCATAACGTCTTGTAAAAAAAAAGATTCCTAGTTGTTCAAACCAAAGAAAGTGTGACAGATTCACTTCAACATGTACAACAACAATAACAACTACTACTACTACTACTACTACTAGTTCTACCACTGCTACCATTGACCTATTGGGAATCGTCAGCACGGTTTACAAAATCTGAACCATTCGTTATGATGATGCTTCTAGCGCCCCAGAAGCTCTTTTCATGTTGAAATTAGTGTTTCTTTCATCTCTTCCCAGTTGTCCTTCATAGTAACTTTCTCATTGAGTAGACTTTATAGGGGGTAATATGTTGTTGAAGGCCATCTCGTATTCGTTGAGTTTGTCAGAATCTCGAAAAGAACGTGTAATGAGCCACTGTAATGCAGTTTTTCCAGTTGTCCAGTGCTTTCTTGGTTTGGGTTTAGTGTTGACAACTTCCAGGCTGTGATCCGAAGCTACGTCGACAATTCCTCCCCTGGCTCTCACGTCTTCCAGTGACCTTCTGAACACCTTGGTGATGCAAATATGGTATATGTGATTGTCCGTGTTTTGATCCGGTGATAACTGTGGATCCATGAGATTCCTATCCTATGAGTGATCTAAGTGCTTCTTTGGACAGCATCAATCCAACTGTCTGAGTGTGTGAAGCATATTCTTCTTCGTGACTAGAGTCCAATCTTTTCTGTCCAGGTTTAGTCTAATGGATTTCACTTATTCCGAGAACCACCGACTTGCGTTTCCTAATTTCTGAAGCCAATTTGTTTGTCGTCTGCTTTCAATACCTATGAGATGGAATTAACTTCTGCTTAGTGCTTCATAATAGAATCTATGTAATCTTATGGTTTGTTAAAGAGAACCACCAATTTGTATCTCCTCATTTCCTTAGATATTTGATTTGTTCTCCCCCTCTCTTATATTTTTCTGACATTCCATGTACCCATATTGTAGTGAACATGAACACCAGTGGGGACAATCGGATGTATTTGAGCACAAAATTACAGAGCATCTCAATCAAATCTGAGAAACATATAGTAAGTGCTTAATTTGCAAAATGTCCATCACTTGTCTTAAAATGACTCAGATTTCATTATTCTTGAAGACTCATAAAATTACTTTCTGTTTCCATTCTTTACTGTTCGATCCTCTTGTCTCTCTGCTGCCAGACATTCTGTTCCTGACTAACGTCATATACTACTTATATCGATATAAGTAGCACACGCCACAATATTAATTGTTGCTCTGGTTTTTAGATTGGCCATCGACCTCGTGACTTCCGATGAATCTGAGATGTCACCATGAGTCGTCATAATTCTTTCTTCAAATTCTAGGACAGAGTTGAAATAGTCTAAACTGTTTTTTTCTGGTAAGCGTCATTGTAATATGGTTATTTTGTACAGAATGTGGGTTTTGATCCCATGCCCAACCCTATTTTATTTACACGTGTTTGATCCCTGCAGTAATTATAGATGGATTACAGACGGATTTGAATTCAACACTGAACTATCTTGACTGTGATTGCACATGTCCAATTCTATCTATAAGGTTTATTTTCTTTTTTATAATTTAGCTTACTTGTAATCGATCTGATTGCTATTTTTATCATCCACCGAAACTAATCAGAGATAAAATTGTCGCTAAACGACACGCGCAATATCTTCGTGAAAAAGTAATTCGTGACGCTTCGAAATCTCGTAAACTTAATGGTCTACTAACGTTTGAGCAAAACATAAATGCTGGTAATAATATTACAAGGATTTCGCAAAATAAACTGACAACACCAAATAAATCTTGTAATCAATCAGTAGTTCCTCAGGAGTTAATTAGAATAACGGATATTCATTCATCATCATCAGTTATTAACAGAGATAATTTACATAATTTTTTACATGATTGCCATGCTGATTCCATACAGTTGACAAATCCAAATCACTATCTTCTACAACAACACTCACTCTCATCCTCATCACTTCCACTACATCAATCATCACAGCTAAATCAACAAACAAATTTCAATCCATTCATTCAATGTGGTACAACAAATCATTCAAATTCCCATCTAATCCCCAACAGTATTCCTTCATACTTATCAAATATTTTGTTGAATAATTTACTTTACATTCCACCATCTAGTATTAATTCAAGTTTATTCCTACCTAATCCTCGTCCAGTCCTAACAAATACAACAAAATCTCAATTTCCCGATATAAATCTGTTCTGTACACCAAATCAAATTGATTACGAAAAGTTGTGCAATCTAATTTTGTTAAATTCTACACCGTTAACACAGCCAATTTATTCGTCGAATTTAGTGAGTTTGAATGAACACTTTCAGTTATTGTTGTTAGTAAATCAATAGGTTGAGGTTCATTAAGAAATCAATGCAATTCTGACATACTTACTTAGCACTGGAGCCAGGGTGGTCACAAATGCTCTGGCCTTATGCAGAGGTTCACCAATGCACTCCAGTGTGTTGAAGCCTGCGACGAATCCTAGTCGTGCTCGCTCAGACGCTAGCCACTATCCATCTTTGCTTAAAAAGATTGTGAATTCAGGCTATACCGAGACAATCTGCACAGAATGCACATATACAAACAAAAGACTGATCAATTTCAGTCCTAAATAACAAAGGGAAGATACAAGTAAAACAAAACCAAGAGAATTTTGCATATACATAGTTTCATTTTACTAGTTCATAAATGATAAGATCAATAATTTGAGTAGAATAACATATTCATTTCATTTTGTAACGTTCTCATCACCTGCTATGAATGAGGTTGTAGATGCTTTTGAGTATGAGTGAAGTTGGTCGGATCTTAATGTAAGTATATTTGTATAATATAGAAAATATTTGAATATTATTCATATACAATAAATTCTGTTTCAAATAAATATCATATGGAAGAGATAGATATCAAAGTAATAAAACTAGGTAGTTACACAGTTAAATAGATGAATACGAGTAAATAACACCTACAAACAAAATGGAGTTCGACCGGGTCTCTTGTGAGATATTAACTCACTGATGACAATGGTGGATGTGTCGTTCAATTTCGTGGATTAGTTGAAGTTAGAGAATAACACCACTGGATGCCAACCAGCTCAGTGATCTACTGAGTGAAGACACATAAAGTCTTTTAAATGTAGTGATTAGCAACTTAGAAATAGTTACGATGGTTTAAATCACAAACTGACCTTAGTTAAACTATGAGGCCTAGCAATCTATCTCAAACCTCAAGATCCTGTTTATATTCCTAAAGGTATAAGTCCTAATGGTCTGAATAGAACTAATTTTTTCTGAAAAGCACCTTGATATTAGTTATAAATCAGCTAAGATTAATAAATGCTCAAATAAATCGTGTCTAATTAGAATAACTAAATTTCAAAAGAATATATTAGTCTGTTAAGTCGGTAGATGTCGGTTCCAGTCGTGCTTTGTCTTATTTTTAACTGCGGAACTAGGTGACTGTGTTTATACATTTTCAAGTGAACACCATTTTCTACATAAATTTATCAGTTGGTCTGGCCTGATGTATTAGCAACAAACATAAGACACAGGTCAAAACATTTAGTAATCTTTAAATATATTGCTTTCTTCCCTTTGTCTTTTGTTTGTTTTAGACAACTTCATGGTCTAAATTATTGGACACATTGATTATGAATAATCCGTCATTATTCTTAGCTAATATACCACAAAATACTACTATACCAATTAATTCACACGCTAACTGTTTAACGTCTCAATTCGTTGATTCAATCCTACCATTCAATTATTTATTGAATGTACCATATTCATCGACAACAAATGAAATAAACAATACTTTACCAACAGCATTATTTCCTTCAAATCAAGGAATTGAATTACTACCACATGTAGGAATGACAAATACTGTTGAAAGTCAATCTAATATATCCTCCATTAGTTATTCTTCAGCAATTTCACAATCATATGTAATGTCATCGCCCCCATCATCATCATTATTACTATCGAATACACCGATAAATCCAGAGATTCTTCTACAAAACCCTCAATTCTTAATACCAACCGACCATACATTAAATGTGAAGTTAAACACTACTACAACAAAATCAACTGTTATAGGATCACCAACATCATTATCAACAACAACAACAACAACAACAACAACAACAACAACAACAAACAATGTTTCCATCATTAATTCTACTTAGATAATATTAAGCAAATATAGATTATGGATGAATTTGGTTCAGGGATTTTATTCTCTAATTTTGTTCAATTCATTTGATCATTAATTAAAATTAGATTGTCGTATGAACAAGAAATGTGTAATTAATAAGAAATTTTCGTTTAAATTTGATCGAATTGTTTTACAGTATTTAGGTGCTGAAATGTCGATATTTGTTTCTTTGAAAAAGCTTGGATGAGATTACCAAGTGAAACGCTAGATCTACATTGAATTTATCCGCTGAGATTTTACAAATGCATTTTTCCACTGAAATAATTCATTATTATAGTGAAAATATTTCGTTAGATGTTTAATAATGACATAATCAACAGTAATAAATTGAATAAAATAAATTTAATTTTCAATATTTTAAAATTCTTTAATTGAAACACATCAATAGGTGAGATCATGAGTCAATTGAAACTCGACTATAATGGTAAACCTGAAAGCACTGGACGGCTCGGCAGTGCACATTCACGAACCAACCTCATGAGATTCGAACCCACGACCTATCAGCCTCCTGTGCGAACGCTTAACCAATTAGATCACTGAGCCGGCTGGCATCCAACGGTGTTAATGTTTAACTTCAACTGATCCACGAAATTGAGCGACACATCCACCATTGAGTTAATATCTCACAACACACCCGGTTGAACTCCACTGGTCACTGCTTCTCAATAGAACTCCAAGAGATACCTCTTGAAGCCAGTCATTAGTGAGCATGTCTTGATTAATATCACAAAAGCTTTTATGGATATCATAGCAATTTTTTCTAACATATGAGATCATAAGCCAATTGAAGCCAGACCACCACGGGAAACCTGGAAGAACTGGACGGCCGTTTCGTTATTATAAAATCCACAAGAACCTCTAAAATACAAAGAGGAATCAGTATCTATAAATAAATAACAATTGAATATTGTGAAATGATAAAAATCAACATGACTTAAGGATAAGTCATGATAAATTACAGCCCATATTTGATTCCAATTCTTAGTATTAAGTACCATATTCAGAAATACCATCATTAAGGTTTTCAAGTTAACAGAATTATCTTACATGACTAGGAGGATGACAATAAATTATTCCTTTGGAATGTAAATATGGTTTCTGAGAAATGGAGATTAACATGAAATTAATGCAATTAGTTCCATTTGATAAATTTCGATAATGGAATATGAAGATGAAGTTTATCAGGATTATGTGATGATATATTAGCACAATACATTTCGAATAATCGGATCACACATTATATAGCTGCAAAGAACATTCATATGTAAACATAAAAAGTCAACTAAACTAGAAGTGAAGGGTAAGAAGAGACAAGGTTATTAAAGAAAATAATATGAAAAAACGGTTTGAAACCTGATCACACTGGATAATTAGCTAATATTACCAGAATAGGTTCAAGATGAGAACAAATCGTTTTCGAATACACGATTACTCTTCCCAATGCATGTGTGGTCACACACACAATTAAATTGGTAAACACAATGGGATGTGACGTGTTCATTTTGTTGTCTTTTAAGTGTTCGATCCAGTATTAACCTTGTTTTGTTTCCTTGATAACGACAGTTGCTGCACAATATATCGTTCTAA